GTACGTACGTACGTAGTAGTAGTAGTAGTTAGTAGTACGTAGTACGTAGTAGTAGTAGTAGTTAGTAGTAGTTAGTTACGTACGTAGTAGTAGTAGTAGTAGTAGTAGAGAGAGAGAGAGAGAGAGAGAGAGAGAGAGAGAGGGAGGGGGTGCTATTTTTTGAGATGTGGATTAGGGTTTTGTGGAAACTGGTCCACTGAGTTTGGACAAAATGCATTTGTTAGAGGCAAGGCCTTCCCAGTTATTTGATTATTGCACAAGTGACTGAAAAAGCGAAGGAGTTTGCATTTGAATCATCATTTGTTATCATGTTATATCTTTAACAAATATGAATTGAAGAGGGTCTGGTGCTAAACACAATTATAACTGGATTTGAATCTCGTCACATGTTTTTTTGATTTTCTTTGCAAAGGTAAAAAAATGAAGTAGTACAACTTTGGAATAAGAAATCACAATCACCTCTAATGGTCAGACGTGAAATCAGGTGGTCGGAGTTGCATTTGAAGTTTATGCGGTATTTTCTTTCCAATCAATTTCTCAATTGATATATCAGGCAAAGCATATGCCGTTAGCTTAGTTAAACTAATGCTCGTGAATGCATCTAAAAACTTTATAAAATAACCTTATGAGAAAATTCATCATGAAGGAATCATCATCATCATTCGAGCTTCATTCTAACTATTTTGACTCTATAAAAACGGAATATGAAATCAAAGTCCTTACCAATAAACCATTCTCTATAAGGAATGTGGCAAAAAAGGGAATACTAAATCAAAGTCCTTACCAATAAACTATTATATATAAGGAATGTGGCAAAAAGGATTAAATGTTAAAGTTCTTGGCGAAAAACAAAATCTCTCTTGAGAATTGCTCTTAGGACGACCCTTAAATTTCACCTGATGTTGGTTACTTATACGACATTCATACCCTCAAATTTCTAACTTCTCTTGTGACTAAATTTAAAGCGAAAGTTGCACAAAAATGAATAACAACTAACATCCTCATATCTATTATGCTCATTTTATCGATATGTTGTCTTTTAACCACTCAACATTCCATTCTATAAATCATAGAGAACTTCCACTTCCGTTTCAATAGTATGCGACAGTTACTTAAAATGCCAGATGTACATTTCCATTTCTATCACTCAACTCTAATTCTATTTGTAATATCTTCCTCAATATCTCCGTTATTTGGGATTAACCGCCATAGATATTGGAAGCATTCTCTTTTAGGTATTTCTTGATCTTCAATCTTAACTACTTCTTCATTTTTATTCCTATTATTAAACTTGCATTCTATATATTCTATCTTAGACCTGCTATTTTTAAAGCCTTTAGATTCTAGAGCATCATTTCTACATTCTAACTTTGTGTTGACACTGTTTCTAGTCTCATCGACAAAATCGTCATCCGTGAACAACATACATTACGGCACCTCATGTTGTAGGTGTTTGGTTAACTCGGTATGGGTTCAATACCGACCCCTGATGTAGGCCCATTGTCATTGAAAATTCACTTTTCTCTCTAATTGTCTGTATACTAATTACCACTCTTTCGTATCTATCTTTCACTATGTCAATATAGCATATGGGGACCTTTTTCTTTTCCAACATGCACCAAATCAAATTTCTAAATACTCACTTTCTCTAAATTAATAAAGATCATGTAGAGGTCTTTTTCTTTTTATATATATATATATATGTATGTATTGTGAAGTTATAGAATGTTTATACCTATATTAACGTATAAATTTTAATTAATATGTCTTTTAGGTTATGGGAGTATTAAACAAAAAAATATGCACTAGGGTTTTAAGAGCGCTGAGAATGGGAAAGGGATTTCATTGTAGAAAAAAGAAAAGAAAAAAGAAAGGGAAAGGGGTTATCTTTCAAACGTTGCGTTTAATGTATCATTTGTTCAAGAAGTGAACCGTCTCCTAAATATTTGGCAGAATAAAAGTAAACGAAGCGGTAACTTAATTTAATGAGTTTGACAATAAATTACCAAGCTGTAGTTAGTACGTGACATTATTGCTGGGCTCAATTAATCAGGGGCAAAAAATAGGGAAAATTATATAAATATCTGTTTTAGTTTATGTTATTACCAAAATAGCGAATATTTTCCATTACTACTAATATATTTTTTTTTTTAGTCAATGGTATGCCTAATTTTGAATTTTTAATTCCTTTGATTCTCTGTGTTTTTTTTTACTCCTTCTGTCTTCAATTTTTTGTTCATTGTTCTTGGTTTGTCCACAACTTGGTGTTTCCCCTCCCCGCCCCCCTCCCTTGTTTTTGGTGATACGTTTTGGTGATATGTGGTGAAACTAAATTGGACATACCTTCGAAACCTGAGAATGGCCTTTTCTTGAACAAGAGTGAAAAATCTCCATTGAAGATTGTGGACTTTGGGTTTAGTTCAATAGAGGATTTCACTGACTCAATTGATAGTGGTAGAGAGAGAGAAAGATAGAGGGGTAGAGTTGATAGTGGTAGAGAGAGAGAAAGAGAGAGGGGTAGAGTTGATAGTGGTAGAGAGAGAAAGAGAGAGGGGTAGAGTTGATAGTGGTAGAGAGAGAGAAAGAGAGAGGGGTAGAGAGAGAATACAAAGAAGACCTATAAGAGAGAAAAAATTTTGATTCTTGAAAAACAAAAAATTTAAAATTTTAATTGGTTTGATTTCAATTTTTGAAAAATCGAAAATCGCTAATTTTATCATTTTTTAAAAAATTGTAAAGTATTTTGTTAATAACAAATGGGCACGCTTTCTATGCTTCCCCTACAACATAGAAATTCTATCCTCCCCTACCATCCAACCGTCCAACTTTGATCAAGAGAGGCATTCATTGTTTGATATTAGATCCGACGTCTCAAAGTATTTTATTTTTGGTTTTTTATACAAATTGTATGAATACGAAATTTGGTACGTGTCATCTTCTCATTGAGGCGCACCTATAAAAAATATTAGAAATAATTTTTTGATAAAATATAATGACCAAAATACCCCTTGAAACTTTCAGGGGTATTTGATCGTTTTATTTTATTGAAAATGTTTTTTTTTTTTATATTTTTTGCTAGTACGAGTTTAATAGAGGACATCCAAAATTTGGTGTCAAAATAGTTTATAGAAAAAAAATAAAAAATAAAATAATGTAGAGATGTGACATTGTGATTGAGACAATCTTAACCTTCCATTCGGAATGTACGGTTGGATAAGGAAAAGGATAAAACTTTTATGCTGTAGAAGAATCTTGCCCTTTATATAATTTTCCCTAAAAAAACAGATCATACAATCATCGGTATGGAAACATATAAATCATATAAAGCTGTACCTAATACGGATTAGAAAGATCGTTTTGGAGATTTCAAATTCCATGGAAAGAGAGAGAGAGAGGTGGAGAGAAGAAAAGGGAGCCGAATGAGGAACTCTAAAATCAAAAGGGGGAGAGCGAGAGAAAGAAATATAAAGGGAGCCCAATGAGGAACTCTAAAATCAAGACACCATTGACGTGAACCAACAGAGATGGTACCCATTAGGGCATTAGCTAGGGTTGGCATTGGGCCAGGTTGGGGGGCCCAAAAAGCAGGGCCTAGCTACATATTGTGGCCCAAGGGGCAGCGCCGGCCTCGCCCGGCTATTTTTTCTTCATTTGTTTTAGGCCGGGCTCGGGGCCTGTAGGTCCAGGCCGGGCCTATGGGGACAAGCTGGCTTGGCCGAGGCCCCGCCCATGGCCACTCTTACCATTAACATGACCCCTGGTTTTAGAGTAGGGGGAGCAATGGATACGGACCTGTCCAGGACCCGATGTCTAGACCCTACCCAGATCCGGGTATGGGTAAAAAAGTTAGACTCGGTGGGTTGGGTCCGAGTCTAGATAGTGGATCTGAATACTATTCAAGTCTAGGTTTGGGTCCATGCGGACCTGACTCGAATGATGTTATTATTTATATAATATATTAATAATGTTATTATTTATATAATATTTAAATGGTATTTAAATGAATATAACGAAATATTTTTAGTTATAATATTTGAATAATTTATGTATATATTTAACACAATATTTAAATAAATTAAAAAAAATTATATATAGTTTTATTTTTGAGATAGGTCTAGTCTAGTCTGATCAAATCAGGTCAGGTCAGGTCCGATTACTTCAGGTCTGGGTCCCATAAATTGTTTTGGATCCAGATCCGGCCCGACACAGACCCAACCCGTTGGCGCCCTACCCTAGCGATGAAAAAGTAAGCCCTACTATTAACTCTAAAATCAAGTAACCATTGATGTGAACCAACATAGAGAGCATGCATAACATGAGAGGGGTGGGGTGGGGTGGGGTTGGGTTGGGTTTCTTTTGAAATGAAACGCGAGTGCCCAGCGCCAGTGAGAGAGAGACCGAGACTGATAGAGGGACGGTTTAATGAAACACTACTGCCTCAGCGCCATTCCCAAACCTCAGAGAGAAAACTAAGCACAGTTTTTAGAGAGAGAAACATGAACTATTCACAGTATCTAGAGAGAGAAATGAAACACTACTGCCTCAGCGCCCATTCCCAAACCTCAGAGAGAAAACTAAGCACAGTTTTTAGAGAGAGAAACATGAATCTAGAGAGAGAAATATGAACTATGCACAGTTTCTAGAGAGAGAAACACATGTTCCTAGAGAGAGAGAGAGAGAGTACTTGTAGGCGTAGTATTTGGACAGATGTTAGAACAAGGAGGGGTGGGCCATCCCAAACCACAAACCCAAAGGACGGCTAGGAGGGTCCCACGCCCAACAGCAAATTTCCAGATTTAGTCATGCACTTATCGCAGAGGATGCCTACTTTCCAGGTGCATTCTGGGACCAATTAAAAATTAGGCCCCACAGAGAAGAGAGAGAGAGTTAGAGTGAGAGAGAGGAGAGAGACAAGGCGAGGAGGAGACGGGCTTCTCGCAGTAAAACAGAAAGATCAGTTATATCCCATGGCCCTCTCACCAAAAGGCCTGCAGGATTCATTAATATTAAAAAAAACAGGTCCAATTTTTTTCTGTTCTTTTTCCTCTTTGTTTAATTTCAAATTTTCACATCTCTCTTTTCAAATTTAAGTACTTGTCTTTTTCTTAAAAAAAATTACTCGTTTTTGAACTCATAATCTTGCTATAGATGACATGAATTCATTTGGGTTTGAATGAATTTCCTTCATTCATCTTGGCCTCAATGAATTAAGAGAAAAACCCAATTATTTTCTTTATTTTCTGATGTAATTGAAGTTATTTCGTTCGATCTTCTTCTTCCGATCACGATCCGATCGCTCCAGATAATGGAGCGCAATAACTTCAACTGCATCTGTATTTTTCCCGCATTTCTTTCTCCTTTACCTTCTCGTGGCCTCTAACATGGAAACATAGCTCTAAATTTGCTCTATGTTATCTCTTGCCAACCATATATAAGCTACATTTCTCTCTCTGAGTTTCATTCATATGTTTGGTGAATAATCAGGAGGAGTTGTTGCTTAAAGGCCGATACCAGGCGAGGGGAGGGGCTGGAAACGTTTTTTCCGGCTAGATATACAGCTGCCAGAACCCCTCACCATGGCTTCGTCCCCGGTGACTGCTCCGCCCGCGGAGAACCCATCGACCCCGAGTCCCCCTTCACCTCTGGATGCTGGCGCCCCTCCGCCAAGCACCCCTCCAGGATTGGACACCCCCCCACCATCCACCGCCCCACCACCCACAACCCCTCCTCCAGTGGAGTCCACACCCCCTCCATCACCTCCAAAATCTCCACCGCCATCTCCACCACCGCCTCCACCTCCAGAGAGCTCGAATCCTCCTCAGACCCAACCTGCACCTCCCCCTCCAGAGACTGGAAGACCTCCTCCTGGTAACACTGCAAGTCCGCCGCCACCTCCAAATGTTCCACCACCACCCCAGAGTCAGAGTCCTCCTTCGGGGTCCTCTGGATCACTTGCACCCCCACCTCCACCTAAACACTCATCCAGGACCCCAAGTCCTCCTCCTCATACACCGAGCTCGCGTTCAAAGTCAAGCCCTCCGCCCCCGTCGGGTAGGTCGGACGAGAGGACAGCGCTGATTGCCGGGGTCGCTGCGGCGGGGCTACTGGCTTTGGTGATCCTTGGGTTGGTGGTCCTGTGTTGTAGGAAGAAGAAGAGGAGGCAAGATGATTCCATGCATTACTATGTAGGATCTGTACGTCCACCAAAAGGTCATGACTCCTTTTCTTTTTATTATTATTTTTTAAAATTTCTTGAAATTTACCAGAGTGAACTATTTAACATATTATTACCTTGAGTAATTTGATAAATTTTAAAACCTATTTTGATGTGTCATTTTATATGGGCTATTTAATATTTGATCAATGATGGGTAATTTGAAGTTTGATTAAAAATATGAGTTAGATGTTCAATAATTCAAATCTTTGGTATAGTTCGATAAATTTACTCTTTTTTATGGGCTAACAATATATGATGCAAAATTGATTTACATGTATGGTTATGTAAAATTGAGTCCACATATAAGACTACGTACTTTCTTATTTTTTATAGGTTATACAAGACTTATTTTTTTAAAAGAAAGGATACAATGAGATCATTTACCTTTAGTACACGGCGGTCACAATTAATTTTCACCATTGGATGGAAAATTTGGTGGATGCAATTTATTTAATTGACTAAGCGTAAAGTTCAAAAAAAAATTTCTTGAATTTTATGACACACCCAAACTATCAAATTTTTTTATAATTCAAAGTAATAGTGAGTACCAAAAGTAAATAGTTTCATTATGTACAGTTTATTTATTTATTTATTTGGTAGATAACAAGCTTATGTGCATCAAGGCTTGGATTCTAGTGTTGTGATCTTTTCTTACCCCTAAGATGGTGAACCCCTAGGGTAGTAGTGGTTTTATAAACCTTAATGTGCACTCCACAATTAATATGCACAAATCCGTGCCTACAGTTTTTTTCTTTTGAAAATCTAGGGAAAAGTTGAGGGTTGACAAATTTATACATTCGAACAAGCCTCAAACAGTACTCACAAAATTCTTCTAAACCAATGTTCAAAAACACGGGCGAGCCAACTCGGACTCCCTACCTTGGTGAGGCCCACCCAACTCGGGGATCTTAGAAAAGTTCATAAAAATTTTAGACAAATCAAGAATTCATTTGTAATATGTTTTCTATCATTTTGACAAAGATTGAAAAGTTTATTCACTATTTTTTTAACCTCATTTAGATGTGTTTTGTTTAAGGGGTGCGGTTTGTATAGAGCTAAGGCTCTAAACAATCAAAATAAAGCCCACTCATGACCTTTCAAATAGTGTCGAGAAATGTGGTTTCAATATTGAAAATCTTTGTGATAGCCTTAAAATATATTTTCACATCTAATTATAAAATTTAAAATTTTAAAAATAGTGTAGACCGAATAGATATATTTCCAAAACTTGAAATCCAATTTTTTCGCATGTCTATGTTTCTTGATGTCGAGATGATGAATTTAAAGATATTTGAGCATCAAAACAACTTCTTCTAGTGAAATTTTTGAGGTAGGCCCTAAGTTGATTGTTTAGAGCCTAGGCTCTATATAAACTTTTTTTTTTGTTTAATTTTAATTTAAAAATATTTTTTTTATATATATTTTTTTATTTTATAACACTTTTTGGCTGGGCCAGGACCCTACGGGACTCGCCTAGTAACTCGGACTCGGGAATGGGCCAAGTCATATCTTTATTCATGGTTTTGAACGCTGTTCTAAACTCTACCGCATGCTCTTGCTAGCAGGTGATTACTATAGCAGTGGGCCGAATTGGCACAACCATGGGTCCGCCCCACCAAACGACCGCATCGTAAAAATGGGCCCTGGAGGTGGCCCACCCCTTCCTCCGCCCCCAGGCGGCGGTGGTGGTGGCGGAGGCTGGCTCGCCCCTCCACCTCCCCCCCCTCTCATGAGCAGCAGCGATATGAGCAGCTCCAACTACTCGGGCCCCCGCCAGAGCCCCCTCCCGCCTCCATCTCCTAACATGGCGCTCGGTTTCACAAAGAGCACCTTCACATATGAGGAATTGGCAGCAGCAACAAATGGGTTTTCGCAGTCGAACCTGTTGGGGCAGGGAGGGTTTGGATATGTACACAAGGGTGTGTTGCCCAGTGGGAAACAGATAGCAGTGAAGCAGTTGAAGGCGGGGAGCGGGCAGGGTGAGAGGGAGTTCCAGGCCGAGGTGGAGATCATTAGCAGGGTGCACCACAGGCACTTAGTCTCGCTGGTTGGGTACTGTATTGCCGGTGGGCAAAGGATGCTGGTGTACGAGTTTGTGGAAAATAACACGCTCGAGCACCATCTGCATGGTAAGGAGATAGAGAGAGAGGATCTTTCTTGAGTGGAGACAAAAGGGTGAGAGGTAGGGTTGGCAACGGTCAGGTTCGTCTAGATCTGGATCTGAACACTATTTGGGTCTAGGTTTTGGACCCCGATAGAACTTTTTGGGCTCAAAATTTGGACCCATACTCAGACCGGAGCTTCGGTCTATCTGTCGGGTCCCGGGTTTGGTCGATTCCATTACCACTTTATGACTATGAGTTTTTTTCCCCCCTTTTTTTTTAACCATCATATACCCATATTAGTGGTAACATTTATAGTATTGCAATTGGAAATTCTTAAAAAACAAATGTATTAGCGACATTTATGTATATTCACATATAATATTATTCGGGTTGGGTCCGACTTAAGCCAAACCCAAATAATATTCAGGTGTAGGTTTTGGATTTGGACTCAACTTTTTGAGTACAAAATTTTGATCTATACCCAGACTTAAGGTCGGATCTACCTGGTCAGGTCCATTGTCAATCCCAATGAGAACTAGGTTTCCTATTGAAGTTTTGAGAGAGTTGTATTTGTGGATTGGAGAGAGGGAGAGAAGTACAACATACGGACTGGCTTCTCCTCTGTGTGAGAGAAAGGAGAGAGAGAGAGGGGATTGCTTTTTCATTTGTTCTAATTGCACAAGGTCTAGGGCTTTTCTTTATTATTTTTAAAACTAAATAATAGTCCACGAATCCTTCCAACTTGACAATATAAAACGTTTTCATTTTTGCTGCCAATACAGGAAAGGGTCGCCCTACTATGGATTTCCCAACAAGGATGAAGATTGCATTGGGATCAGCCAAGGGGCTGGCCTACCTTCATGAAGATTGTAAGTCATCATTCTTTGTAAAACATTATTTTAATACATAAAAATAAATGTGAGGGAGTGCACAATAATGTTTTACATTAATTATGACATAAAAATACATCTAACGTTAGCTTATAATATTATTCTTAGCTCACTCTCAATTATCGGATCGAGATGGGATTGTTGTGGCACTTTAGGGATGTATTAAGTATATACATTTTCATATAGCATGAAAAAGTATGAATATATATCGGGACAATATACTATGAAATTATTTATTTTTGGTACAAAGAGGTCACAATCACCGATAATTGTTAGATGTGAAGTATGACAATTTAAGGTTTACTATAAAGTTAAAAAAAATTTCTTTTAGACTTTGAGTGTGGTCAATGGGACTCCCACAACCATTTAATTTCACATGTAATAACCAAGGTTGATATTGGCTCCTTTGTAACAATGATAAATGGTTTTTATTGTACCCTTCCTATTTGTGGATATTATCATATGTAATTTATAGATTAAGATTCTATATTATAAGATTGTTTACCTTTATTCATGCTCACAATTACCTTTAGTAGTCAAATCAAACAGCTAACAATGTCTCATTTTGTTCTAAAAAAATTTTGAGCCAAATTTTATTGGATATTGAGCATAACACACTTCTAACAGAGATTTCACTTTTGGGGGCTAATGACCTACTCATACCAAAAATAAATATTTAACTTTATACAATTTAAAATTATTATGTGTGATTATTCTTGTTTGCAGGCCATCCTCGTATTATCCATCGTGATATCAAGACAGCTAACATTCTCCTTGACTACAAGTTTGAGGCCATGGTAAGATTTGACCACTTGACATAGCATCAAAATCAAAGAAGACTACTACAAAAACAAAAAAATAATACTGGTTCAAAGCACTAAATGCAATAAACCAATGCAAAGTTTACAAATGATTATAGGGTGAGGTTTTGTATATGGTGCTCATGTTATGTTATATTTATAAGACACGCCCTTAAATTTTGCCAGAAGATATAGTTCTAGTGTTAGAAAGCTTACGATGACTTGAGAATTTATGTTCAACTATAATGATGAAAATTAAAATTTAAGAAATGGTGAAGATTGAGCAGAAGTATGAATGCTTGAAAATGGAGAGTCTGGATCATTTGTTACAAAATGTATTATTTTTAGGATTTAAAGTATTTTTTTTTATATTCTGACATCTCAAGGTCGAGATGGTCAATTAGAAGAATTTATAACTTTGAAACATTCTCTACTGGATTTTTTAAGTGTACTTTACTTCTAGTACAAGGTTGCAACCTTACATAAACTTTTTAATAATTACAAGCCCTGCTAAAATTATGACATTTGTCAAATTTTAGTGCAAATAGGTCACAATCATTTTTTGCTAAAATTATGACATTTGTCAAATTTTAGTGCAAATAGGTCACAATCATTTTTTACTGTCACACGTAAATTTGAGTGATTTAGCGTGCCATTGACTAATTATCATAGATTTTTTCCTTTCTTTTCGACTGTGTAAAAAGTGACACACCTTAACTCTCAAATGTCACATTAACAACTTTTGATTGTTTGTGACTTTTGTATTGCAAAGCATAAAATATTTAAGTTGACAACGATAATCGTAGGTAAGATTTAATGGTTGCTAAGAATTTCAGATGTAATTTACATGGTTTTCTTTCTTAAGGTTGCTGATTTTGGGCTCGCCAAGCTGTCCTCTGATAACTACACTCATGTTTCAACACGTGTCATGGGAACTTTCGGGTTAGTTGTACATTTCTCATTTCATGATTTTAATTTTTAAAAAGAAATTATAATTTTGACCTTCTTTAAAATTGGAAATTGGAAACTGTAAACTCGGACGAGCTCACTATTAAAACTTGACCTTTTGTAATTGTATCCTCCTTAGAAAAGGAAATTGATTTGGTTAGGGCCGGCAATGGGTAAGGTTTGGGCAGGGCCAGGGGGACCTGGCCTTTGTTCAGGTTCGGCTAGGCTCGCTGGGCTTAATAGATTCAAGAGAAAAAAAGATAAAACACAAGTTCTGGCTTGAGGGCAGGGCTAGTCTTGGCCCAACCTCACCCTCGAGTCATAGTGACTTGGCCCTGGCCGAGCACTTGGGACAATTTTGTGGCCAATACCCTAGTTTTTCAGGGCAGGTAAATGGGCCAAGATGGGCCACTTGGCTCATTGCTAAGCCCATCTTT